CGCTGGTAGAGGCGGCAAAAGCTGTATAAAAGGATGAATCGAAGACGGTCAACTGGCTTACTCAATCTTTGCTCCGAGGCAAGCACGTGGCGAGCCCAAATACTACACCTTCAAAGGTGGGGAATGAGAAAATCCTTCTTTCTTGTCAGCTGTAGATTAGAACTGCTGCTGATTAAGTATCTTGTAGGCAACAAGCACGATCATCAAGGAGAAGAAGATAAAATTCGTTGAAAGGAAAAGAGAGGATCATAGTTCGGATTGCAGATTGCAGTTACGTAGCAAACGGTGCTGCCTTTGGTTGACCAAGTCCGCTTAGTAGAGAGACTAAAGTGCAGCTAAAATCTTACAGGCTGTCACAGAAGACTTGGGCTGAAGCTTTCTGGCCATACAGGTTGAGCGTTGTTCCTTTTGTTTCTGCTATCAACTGATTAATAATTTCTAGAGTTCTCACTCTATCTACTCCGTAGTCTGAGACACTGACCAGATAGTCCCTATCCTATGGTTCAGAGTTTCAACCACAAATGAATATTCTCCTAGTCTTTCCCTCCGCAACTAACCACAATCGACTAAGCGGGACCATCGCAACGGAAGTGGTTAACCCCGAAATCCGAGCGAAACCACTGCAAGGGATTTAGGGATTTTGGCGTTCCGCCTTTCATCATTCTGGAACCTGGTGGGTTAGTCTAGTGGCGGTGCCGCGGGTGGTCATTTGCTTTCCCCTTCCGAGTTTCTGATGGCTTGATGAGCCATGAATGAATCATCCGGGATCCAGGATCTAGGATCCATCGACTATCACAAACGGATCCTGTGGTCGACGCACTCCACGCACGACTTGGTTGTGTTTGAAAGAATCTACAATGAAAGCCATCACTAGGGACTATCTACCAGAGTACGGAGTCCCCGGTCAATTGCCTAATTTCCTCCTTTGTTCAGTTAGTGTTTATTATCATCGGTTCCTCCCGTCGGTGATAACCGTATTCGTATTTCGTATGGCCGTATTCGTTGTCCTTCAATCTCCTTGGCAGAGTGTGTGTCATTATTTGTTCGGTGTGAAGCAGTCCACAGCCATTCCTTGTCAATGTCGATCATTGACAAGGATTGAGACTCATGACTCTTCATTAGTAACAGCATCGCTCTCCGCATTATTACCAAGCGTCCAGTGACTGTAATAGGGCGGATAAGATTCACATGCAGTATGATTCGAATATGCATAGTCAAGTACAATTATGAAGCAAGTACCTAAACAGTCAGGAGCGGCGATCTCGTCAGGATATATGCGGTGACAATATACATCTCCGAAAAGGAGCCCAGGGGGTTATAAGTATGATTATATCCCGTCCTCAAAATCCAACCAAACGCCACGCTATGCACCCACAAAAAGTCATCTTTTGTACAATGGACAAACGGATACTCGAAACGAGATCAGAATCCTAGCACACCGACATTGGTCCTAGATTTTGTCGAGAGCGATTTATCGATATAGAGGGGCCATCAGGTGTGCTTGTCCAAAAACTCCTTGGCTTCGTTGACCTTGGTCGCAAGATAAGGGCTTCCACCACGATCAGGGTGGTTCAGCAGCATGAGTTGGCGGTGCTTCTTGCGGACCTTGTCCTTGTTCAGAGTCCGCTCGCTAAGCTTTGTTAGTCAAACCGGACGGTGGAAAGGGACGGATTGGTAGACGTACGGAAGTTCCAGGATCAGGGCTGCTTCACGACGGGTCATGCGTGGCTCAAATCCTCTAAGCACCTGTCAGCCAACCTCGACTTGTTCTAACTATATGATCAGGACGGATGGGACCTACCCCTTGTAAAATGCCTTTCCCATAGCGTTCACACCTCCCTGGTAGCGACGAAGAGCGATAAAACCAGCGCGACCCTGCAGACCAGAAAGAAAACAGTGAGCCAGACTATGTATCGCAAAGGAACATCCAGAACTCCTTCCTTACCAAAAAGGCCGCTGTAGCGACACCAAGGCCGATAGCAAAAGTCGAAGCCATGCTCAAGTAGGCTGCAAGACGTAGCAGGGCAAGGAACAGCACAAGCAATATATCGATGAGTTATGGATTCTAGATGGCAATCGAAGTTCAGACACTGGAGAAAATCGGAGCGCTGTCGAGATAAAAATCGGAATGCCGCCGCGATGCCTATTTAGGTTTAGCGGCGTCTCCTCCACGCTTCGAAGCTTTGTAAAAGTTTCTACAGATTTTCGAGCCGCCTTTTTCACAATAACAACTTTTTGCAATAAAGCAGTCCCTACAACATCACAATGAGGGTAGAGACTTGTCATTTTTGCTCCAGGTAATTTCCGCCTGATTACAGAAATCAGGACCCGACACTGACTCCTCAAACAGGCCGGTATACCCGAGCAAGGGTATCACCTTCGTCCGCAACGATGCGAAATCTTTCCGATTCTGTTAGTGCCCATTTCTACGTCCATCCCACGCACGACAAAATATCTAACTCGGTTCCAGGTCGGAGCAAGTGTCATGCAAACTTCAAGATGAAGCGTCAACCCCGAAAGCTGAAGTGGACCAAGACTCACCGTGCCGCCCGCGGAAAGGAAATGATTGTCGACTCGTCCCTGGTGCTGTCTCAGTTCGCCAAGAAGAGGAACACCCCCGTCAAGTACGACAGAAACCTGGTTGCTGCTACCATCAAGGCCATGGAGAGAGTGGAGGAGATCAGAGCCCGCAGAGAGCGTGCGTTCACAAAACGCAGGCTGGGCGGCAAGCTGGCCCGCGAGCGCAAGCGCGAGGAAGACCGCAGGGTCGTTGCGGGGGGCGAGCACCTCATCCGCAAGGAACTGCGGGAAAGAGAAGAGGGTCAACCTTTGGATGTCAGCAAGATCTCAAGCAGAGTGGTCGGCGAGGAGCATCTCAGACAGAAGAAGAAGACAAGACTGTTGGTGGATGGAGGCGTCGAGGAGGAAATGGACCTCGACTAAAGGGTGTCTCTTTGTTGAATTCTTTCTTGCTTTTCTTTTCATCAGATATGATATCTTGGGTTTACATGGTGGAGTTAGGTTTCTTTCTGTGTCTCAACCGTTTTCTATCACAAAAGCATATTCTGAAGACCTTATGACGAGCATTTGTCCTATATGTGACCTTTCCAGCCCCCCTGGTGTTCATATATGATTAATTTCTATTCGAATACAAGGCTTGACGCTAGATTCTTGCTTGCTTGTGTTTTTCTGTCCCTCATGTATGGGGTGTTTCTCTCACTTGCACCAGCTCACCTGCCAGCCCCTGTCAGCATTCACTGTCGAGATTTTCACTTTCGATAGTGAATGAGACTTGCCCTCGACGCACAGTAAGTGTTGCTCACAGATATCTCTCCTCCCCCTCGTCTCTTCTTCTCCTCTCTGTTCTCTCTCTTCTCTCCTCATCATCACCAAGCTTGTTACCTCAACACTGATCGTTAACCAACGAAACAACTGTCACCAGCAAATCAAACTGCTTTTCTGCGTCGTTTTAGAAAAGTCCATAACAAAAAAAGTATTAAGCAGCCTTGCTGTGCTCTTTTTACTTGTTCTCCGTTTGAAGCTCACTTGAGTGTTGGTGGCTAACTTACTGTTGAGAACAGAAAATGCTTTTACCTTTCGTCGGAGGATTTATCTTCCTCACTCTCTGGGGATCATTCTTCCAAGTGCCAGGAAACAATGATCCTCACGGGAGGTTCGTGAGGACCATATCCGACGCCGTGGGTGCAACGGCTTTGGCCAAGGGGATCTACGACCTGGCGGAGGCCATAACCTCCACGTACACGGCTCCTGGGCACAAGGAGTCCCTGTATGTCCGCTCGACTGGTTTCCCAAGTCCTGCGGCCCATGTAGGTTTCCCGAACGCCACCGGCACGCGGAAGTCGACAATCAGCGTGGCTATCCCGCTGTGGGAGGAGGCCGACGTGTTGCAGATCTGCGTGGACTCCGGTCCCGTGGACTGCGACACGGCGGCATCAGACTCGCCCGCGTCGTCTTCTCGTGTCGGTCTGGTCGTTGCATGGGGCTTATTGGCTTTCACTGCGCTCCTTTGGAAGGGACTTGTCTCTTTTGGTGTTTCCGCACTGGGAGATAAACTCGGTTGGCTCGGCCAATTTCTCGAGGGTACACCCAAGGTAGCCCACTACCTTGCGGCCGACAGTGCTCCATCTCTGTACGAAGAGGTGGACGCTCTGGTCGAAGGCAAAATGCCCTCGGGGGTTGCCGTGTCCAGCTCCGATGTTGACGCTCTCACCAGAACCGCCATTGCGGCCCCGTTGGAAGAGCAACAGACGTGGAGATTCGTGAGTATCCACCCTGAGGTGGAGAAAGCGATCTCTCGTTTGGAGCGCCAGCGGATCGTCGCAGTGTCCCCGGAACTGGATTCCTGCACCGTCAAAGGGCCGAAGGTCAATCCCAACGGCGTCGTCGATGGACTCACGGACACCGCCCAAGGCACGTCCGATGTAGTCGGTTCGTCTGCTCTCCACCCGTCCCGGAAGTGGGCCCTCGTGCTCCGCCGTCCGGAGAACCTGTCACCAATTTTGGTGCTCCAACTCGTGTGTGCTTTGCTCGCCGGTTGGGAGAGCCATACCGCTTCTGCGGTCCCTGACTCTCCAGGTTCGCAGGTGGCCGAAGAGCCAGAGGCCGACGCAGAAGGCGCGCCTACCTCTGGCAGTCGGAGACGCAAGCGACCCAGCCAGGCCAAGAGGAAGCGCTACGCAAGGAGACTCAGGGAACGTGAAGATGGTCTGAATGGGGCGGCGCATGAAGCGCCCTCCTCGTCAGCTCGTCCAACCGCCTGTGACCCTCCAGCGCCGACTCAAAGCCAGGTGTCTCTTATTGTAGGCAACAGGGTCCCGTCGCAAGACGCGAGGCACGGGCAATTTGGTGGTCCTCGCCCGGCTCCCACACCTGTTATGGGTGTGTATCCGTCGCCGTACGGCTGGCAGCAACCCATGTTCGGCCAACCGCCTCCTTACTACTATTACGGCCAGTACTAGCTCGTCTAGTACTGCGTCTGTCTAACTTCGCAGTTGTCGACTGGGACCAAGATGTGTGCCTCCGTATCCCTCCTCCTTCTTCTTAGGCCAGTCATTCTTCCGGCGACTTCCTCGCCAGGAGCCGGAGAAGGCAAGGTCGGTTGATTGGGCCAGTCCTCGGATTGGACCTCCCGGTCTTGTTCCTTCGGTCTCGCAGCCTGGTTGCTTTTTGGGAATGCTGGCCCGGCCGCTCTTGGGTCGCCACGACATCTTGCGGGTTGGGATAGTTTTAAGGAGAGACGTGGTGTCAGGTTCGTGCGTCTGGCGGTGGAGTTCGGGAGTGAGTGACGGTACGGCACGTAAAACGTGGTTGTCAAGTGAGTTTCCCAGATCTTGCCTTGCGATTCATTTTTCTGATGCGGGTGGTAGGACTTTTCGCCCTCCGGGGGTGAGTCCTTATTCATTCTTCTGTCTTTGAGAAGAAACTGCTCGTCTTGTTGAAGGTCCGAGACTGAGCCCGACGAACCACGTTTTACACCTTGACAAAACATTTCGGTACAAGCAGTCCATGCGAGCACCCAGGCTGATACATATCGTTTTCATTTTTCTCTCTCAATGTCTCTCCTCTCCGCATGAGTGCTCCTGCTCAAGCTTTTTTCTGTCACATCATCCACTCGAAGCTACACACCAGTGGTCATGTCGGGCCTACCCTCGCAGAAACAGACGCAATCAATCTCATTGCACAAGATATCAGACCTCAGACCTTCAGAGTCAAGCCACAGGCAATATCGATTCAATGTGCAAGATTGACCACTGCAACCACACCCTCAAACGCAACGGACTCTTCATTAGCAACTCTCCTCAGTCTGGAAGATCAATTCGAACAACCAAACGAGCTATCTTGCACAGACCACAACCGTCTGCTTTACAAACCCGATGGACGTCCTTCTCTACTCGCACATCGCGAAGCTCATGACCAGAGGAACAAAATTGCCTTTCTCTGAGCCACATGCCTTCCTTCTCTACAACACACACTGAATTTCAACCTTCATCAGTGACTCTCGGATTCTCATCATCACCGTTGTCGCGCAAAGCCGATTACTACAACATACAAATGGCGACAGACATTTCCGTCCGCCTGACTCTCGGACTCTAGTTGGAGCCTACCTGGAGCTCATCCCGTCTTTGTCCCATGCAACCAGCGAGACTTTCCTCTCCACCCACACATGGAAGCCCGTCTTCACGAAAACAACGTCTCCTCTGCAGGTGCCGACCAGATTTTCTTCTCTAGCACAGATTTCGTCTTCGAGAGTGACCTTGAGTCTAGGTAAGTATGATGCTTATTTACCTTTGCGGACGTAGCTTGACAAAGAGATGCTAATAACTGGCCATTTATATTAGCCCTACTGTTATACGTGACACCATACTCTTCCAAATTCCCTTTGCTCGCCCGCCGTGGACTTGTTCTCCGCATAAAAACGGACGTTTATGCTGAAATTGGCCACTGCCGACAAGGAGGCAAGGGTAACGCAGACACTATCTTTTGATGGAGAAGGAGAAAGGTGCCAAGGTGTATGGGTTGACTGAGGCTATCTTCGAAACAAGGTTGACGACTTATGATATTATGACTTGGGCTAGATGATTGCATTGCGTGGATACTGGGCCTGTTTTATTGTTTTTTGTACTTGCATGGTTGGTGTTATCTGGTTTCGGGACTCACGTGGAGTTTGTTCTCTGTTGACTCATGTAGTCATTCCAATTCGTGGATTGCTGGCACGACTTCTCAACACATCAATGCTACTTCACTACAACCCCCATCTTAATCACTTCTACAGCTGTTACATGAATGCTTGATAAGGTATAATATTGTCGAATTGACAAATCACTCGACCGGGGGTTTGTGTACATAGAACAAGGAAAAGCGGATAGTCGTAGACATCAGCAAATGAGGTATGTCCTGTTGTATATGGAAAAGAAAACATGCCGGCGATGGGCATCCTGAGGAGACCAATGATACAGGAGATGGTTTGTACCAAGACAAGAACAATGAAAAGGTATAATGAGGGAAGGATATAAAAAAATATGAGGTTAGGCCAATAGGAGGAGCCCCATGCGACGCAGCTGAATAGACCAGTGATATCCATCATGCATCTCAGAAGCCCAGGTAGTCAGGTAGTATCGAGGTGCAAGCCTCGAGTATACAGTTCCTGATAATTATCCTAGACGCGAACGGGGATGCTAAGTCCAAAAAAACGCAGAAACCACGGACAAATGGCTGGGGCAAAAGCAATGCTCATACATCATCGTAAATACCACAAACTGAGGCACAGCTGTGTCATCTACCCTTAAGGACAGGGCAGATGAGATAGGAGGAAGAGTAAAGGGAAATGTGCGGGACACGGTACCGGCAAACCGCCTACTCCTCCATGCGACCAAAGACGCCATCGTCATCGTCATCTGCATGAGCAGGACGGTTGCTGAAGTCAACATCGGCATTGCGGTTCTGTCTTTGCACGCGATCCGCATCACCCATTTTCACTTCCCGCTCGTCGGAGACCTTGTAGGAAAGTGATGGGTTATATGATACAGAAAGGAAGATGTTCGGGGCGGACTCGGTGAGAGACGAATTGACATTGGCAGTAGCCGCGGGGTCCAGGCTTTGACTAATACTGCGAGCACCATTGCTTTGATCGAGGTACCGAGACGGGAGCGGGGGCACCGGGGGAATGCCAGGGGACATCGGCACCGGTCCAGTGCGCGGCGTTCCGAAATTGCAGAGGCCAATGGCAGCGGCCAAATCCGCTTCATCGTCTTCATGCAACTTGGCTTCGGCCGTGGAGGGGCGAGTGTCGATGCTCGAGTGCCGGAAGTGAGAAAAGGCAGGCGAATGCAGGGGAGCATCACCGTTGAAGGAGCTCGAGGGAACAGACTGGTAGGAGTGTGAAAATTGAGCCGATACGTTGCCCACACTGAACCGTTTGTTCGGGAACACGGGCATGCCCGACATCTCCATGTCATCTTCGTCCTCGTCGTCCTCATCCATAGGAGGAGGGGTAGTTTCTGCCGAGCTGGTGCCGTCGCGAAGCTCCGACGAGGTGTCTGGCGATGCAGATGACAGCTCCGACTCGGCTTCCGCGCCTTCCGAAGGACCGTTCTGGTTCATGTTAACTAGGACGCTCGCGGCCTCCAGCAGCTGGACTTGCTGATGCTTGGAGATCAGTAGCTTCGACGTAATGGCCCATGCCGGGTTATGTTCCCACCTAAAGATTTTCAACCACAAACGTCAACCGACTGGGATCGCCATGAGGGGTGAGAAAGCTCAAGGGGGGAAATGAGCAGGGATTTGGGGGAGACGCGGGGAGCTGAATGACCACGAGGGCGACCTTGCAACAGAGCCGACATGGCGCATTGCTCCGATTCGATCCAGACTGCAGGATGGCATTGGGGGGGAGTATACACACATATGCTTCGACAAGCAGCTGCCATGCTTATACCCTTTCCCGCAGCGATCGCAGCGTAGCTCCGCCAAGGCGCGCTTTCCTTCGCCTTTGACCAAGTGCGATCCTTCGCTGGCCCGACGGTTTCGACTCTTGGTGTTGGCGGGCTTGTTATCCGAACTACTCTCCTCGCCCCCAGCTGCGGCGACGGAAGAAGCGCCGTTGTTGGGATGATTGGGCGAGGGTTTGCGAGCGACCGCGGGTTCTTGGCTGGGGCTATTCATGCTCCGAGAGAGGTAGTGGCCGAAGCCGGAGAGAGCTCCGACCGAAGTGGATTCCAGGCCCCTCCTGGTGCTGCCTCGACGGTGAGAAGGCATCGGCACACCTATCGGTTCCCCATTGGCGTCCTTCATGGATGCGGCGACCGCGGCGGCGGCGGCATTCGCAGCAGCAACGGTGGTGACACTCTTCCGACGAGTGACACGGTGGTTATGATTGACCGCTCCAAGGGATATGGAGTGGGCATGCTGACGAGGAGTGGATTGAGGTAGTGGTCGGGACAGGGATAATTCCTTCGAATAGGGAGCAGGCACATCAGTTAGCGCGGTCATCTTAACGTGGTCATTCATGGTTCATGACTGATCTGTAGAGAGAAGAAGAGATGAAGAAGTAAAAAAATAAGGTGGAATACCTTGAATGAAGCCATGCTGTATACGTAGACTCTCGAACTTTCAATCGCTGAGAGCCCCGTGGACACAAGGCAGTAGGTAAGGCAACTCTTTTTTTTTTCTGTGTGTTTAAGGTTTGGTCGTGATGGTACCAAAAAAAGTGGTGAGAGGGTGGTGTGGTTGGGCCGGTTATAAGAGGAGGAAAGTCACCTGAAATTGTTCACTGGGGAGACTGAATGAGTAATAAGGTATGGACTGGAAGTCAAATGACGAGATGAGCAATTGGAAAGTAGAGAGAATGGCAGAGATTGGAGAGACCAGAGGACGAGAGGATACGATATGTAGGGAGAAGAGGAGAGGAGAGGAAATGTAGGAGGAAGAGAAGGGGAAAGAAGGAAAAGAAAGATAGAAAGAAAGAGGAGAAGCTGAAGGAGAGAAGCAGCAGCAGTAGTAGTTGTAGGTAGGTAGGTACTTGGTATTTGGTGGACAGCAAGAGGAGGTCCAGGTACCTTTGGATATGTAAGTCAGGAAGTAATCCACCTGGCGCTGCAACTAAGTAATCCACTAGGTAATAATACTAATAAGGTACTAATAATAATCAATGAGCGATATAGAGTCAAGACCAAACATGAACCGTACGGTAAACAGCTTTCTAGTAATAATGAAGAATGTTAAATAATAATAATGCTCATGCTAATAATAATAAAAATAATAGTACAAATAGTTCCTATGTGCCCCGTACTGTACGTGCTTTAAAGAGTGTCAGTTTCTTTTTTCTGCGGGGGGGAGGGGGAATTTTTGGCTCCAGCGGAAATTCGCTAGTCGAGGCGATGCGGGGGTTCTGGACACAGGGCAGTAAATATTAGCTGAATAGAGGGAATGCAATTGATCAGAGGGTAAGTAAGTAAAGAGAAAGATGACTGATGCTTGGATATTGCACGAAAATGATTTGAATCTTGAGAATGGGAAAAAAAAAAAGAGAGTGGTGAACTCCCCTGGCTGAAGAAAAGAGTTCCGATCGACTTGATTTGATATCGCACAGGTTCCTGACTAAAGGGGGGCTGAAAGGGCCAGCGGCGGAGTAGATACAAGCAGCTACCTTAGTTACAAGGACAAAGGAAAAATGGCTGTAGATAACTTAGGTTGTAAGTAGTTGGCAGTGATA